ATCCCCCAAGGGGTCCCAGACTGTGAGAGGGCACAGGCCGGGCTGAGGGACCTCCAGTCCTATATAATAAAAGCCTAATATGCTAAGTGTTGGGTTGTCTGTTCAATCAAACAAAGCCTAATATGCTAATGATTTGCTCAGGCTGCCCAACTGCTCTTTATGACATGCCCTGACCACCAGGGGGCAGACAGTTGACCGGTCGACGAGTCATAATGACATGCACTGACCACCAGGGGGTAGATGCTCCTACTGGTAGGTTAGCTTGCTGCTGGGGTCTGGCCGATTGGGACTGAGTAAGACGGGTTGGACATGCCCTGGAGCCCTCCTGCGGTCCCTCCCCAGCTGGCCAACCTCCCGTGTTCCTCCCTGGCCCTGATTGTGCACCGGTGGGGTTCCTCGGCATGGCCTGCACCCTCTTGCAATCTGGGACCCCTCGGGGGATGTTGGAGAGCTGGTTTCATCCCAATCTCACAGGCCAGGCCGAAGGACCCCACTGGTGCACGAATTCATGCATCGGGCCTCTGGTTTTATCTGTAATATGCATTAATCTATGGTAGCCCTTCTGTAATGTTTTGTTTTCATGAAGATCTCAAATGGAGACTTTAAAATTTTTATTTTAGTAAATATATCTTTACTCTTGGGTTAAATTTTTAGTACTCTCCCCCACCTTTTTTTTTACTTTGGTGCTTTTGTTTTGCTCTGATTTTTTTCCTGAACCTAAACCTTAAGTATGAGTAGAAAAGTTGGGTATTGTAAGGATTCTCAACCCTTAAACTTGTTTAGATGAAATTGAGAAATTTAACAAGTAATTGCTTGATAAAATAAAGGTAATCTTTTCTTGGTCATTGTTACCTTATTTTTGTTCTGTAAAGCCAAAATTGCTCTAATGAAAATTTGACCAATGCTAAATATAAAGGAAGAGTATGCTGAGGTTGTGTATGCTATGCCCCAGTTAATTTGGTTTCTTATGATGTGACTGGAGGCCTGGTGCACAAAATACATGCACTGGGGCGGGGGGGTCCCTCAGCCGTCAGTCCGACAGCCTTAGCGATGCTGCAGAGGCGGGAGAGGCTCCCGCCACCACCACTGTGCTTGCAAGCCATGAGCCCTGCTTCTGGCTGAGAGGTGCTTCCCCTGTGGGAGTGCACTGACCAGCAGGGGGCAGCTCCTGCTTTGAGCATATGCCCCCTGGTGGTCAGTGCGCATCATAGCGACTGATCGTTCTGCTGTTTGGTTGATTTTCATATTAGCCTTTTATTATATAGGATTATAAATTAAAAATAGGAACATTATTTTTTATCAGTGAGTAGCACTCTGCCAAGTATTTTAACTCATTCATTTTGATTCAGTATTGTTTTATTTTATGGCATTTAGTCAGTTATTCTGCCTTGAAAAGAAGGTACTCTTATTTTCCAGATAGATTCTTACAAAATGTTGTAAGTAGTAAGCTTTATAGTTAACTAGAGGCCCAGTGCACAGAATCGTGCACAATGAAAGGAAATTAATTAGAAGGTGGCTAGCGGGGTAGGAATGGGCAAGATGGGCCAGACACACCCTGGAGCCACCCTCCTGCGGTCCCTCCTTGGCCGGCCGCACCTGGGGCAGCACTGGGGCTCGAAGGGTGTCTGCAGAGTGAGCAGAGGTCCCTCCAGCAAGTGGGGTCCCTCGGCCTGGCCTGTGGCGATTGGACCAAAACCGGCAGTCCAACATCCCCCGAGGGGTCCCAGAGTGCAAGAAGGCACGCTGCAAAGTTGTGTCGCTTGGCAGCTCCTGCATTGAGCGTCTGCCCCCTGATGGTCAGTGCACGTCATTCCTACTGGCTGGTTTTTAAGTGTGCAATATGTTAGTGTTAAGTATATTCACATTATTGCACAACAGATTTCTGGAACTTTTTCATTTTGCAACACTGAAACTCTGTATCCACTAAATACTAATTTCCCTCCCCCCTTTCCTTAGCAACTACATTCTCCTCTTAATGAATTCATTTATCAATTAATGGGCTGTTAATTATATTATTGCAAGCATTCTGGGTTTGGGGGCATTCTTTTTTTTAAATATATTTTATTGATTTTTACGTAGAGGAAGGGAGAGGGATAAGGAGTTAGAAATAACTATCAGCGATCAGCTGCCTCTTGCACACCCCCTACTGGGGATGTGCCTGCAACCGAGGTACATGCCCTTGACCGGAATTGAACCTGGGACCCTTCAGTCCGCAGGCCAACGCTCTATTTTCACTGAGCCAAACCGGTCAGGGCAGGGGGCATTCTTTATATCAAGTTCTTCAGTATATTCCTTCTGCCATGTACATTGTTATATATTGTGTGCTTTTACTATATTTAAATGTTTAGGCCTTATTATAGGATGAAACACAATAGTTAGGTCTTAGACAATGTAATATACTCACAGGGAGTATATTAATATAATGTGACTGAATTTTGTTTTGTTTATGAAGGAAATGGGAAGACATGATGACCTTTGGTCCTTATTCTACATGTTGGTGGAGTTTGTAGTTGGGCAGCTGCCATGGAGAAAAATAAAAGACAAGGTAATTTTGGAAATGGAAATGTCAGTTTTGGGTAGGGAAAATAATAAAACTTCCTCCTTTGTAGACCTCTTTGTTGAGACTATATTTAAGTATAAGAATTAAAATGTACAAACACCTTCACTGTATAATACCCAATATGTATATTTTTGTGTCTATGACCTGATATTAGGGATCTAGTTAATTTTATGACTTTTTCTATGTACACAGGAATAGATACTAATATAAATACAATTATTATTTCTGATTTGATTTCTAGTCTTCCCTCTTAGTTTTTATTTTCACTAGTTCTCTTTTTTTTTATAAATCAATGAAACTTATTTTAATCGTCACATTATATTGTTTGATTTGAAAACTGTAAACATCTTTGTTGATAACCAGATTTAAGATCAACTGGTTTCGGGGAGAGCTAACGATTCACTGATGCAGAACTCGGTTCTGCATTACAGTTCCCCTCCCCACCCCTTAAAGCAGTATGCATTAAGCTATTAGTATGAGCTCAGTTCTTGCTTTATACTTAATTATCTCCAGCACATACCCTTGAGACTGTTACTGAGAGGTTCTTAATGTGTAGCTGCCAAGAGATATTGACTTTGGTTCCATTTCTCTTTTCTTCCCAGGAGCAAGTAGGCTCTATTAAGGAGAGGTATGACCACAAGCTTATGTTGAAACATCTCCCTCCAGAATTCAGCATCTTTCTGGACCACATCTCCTCTTTGGATTATTTTACAAAACCAGACTATCAGGTAATCAATCCTCTTGTGAGTTCTGTGGGCTAATTATTCTGTCTTCACTTATTGTAGTTATAAATGACTCTGGGAGGTCCCTAGAATAATACTATTTTAATACATTCTGAGTATGTGGTGAAATTAACTGATGATGACAGTGTCTCTGTGTGTGTGTTTCCTTCCTTCTGGATGAACATACTTCATTAGAGTTTTAGGTTTGTTCATCATGAAACAGATTTTACTGTTCCTGCTATTATTCATCTGATGTAGAAGTGCTGACAGTTCAAATTATGTAAATCCTATTGTTAATGTTGACCAGAAGGAAATGTTCAGCTAGGTAATGTATCTGTCGAGGGCTTGAGGGCTGCATATTATATATTAATATGCTTTGGGACAACAGTGAAGATTGTTGGCTCCATTTTGTCTGTGCTCCGTTAATCATTTCCTTAGAGCATCCATTAATGAGGCCTAAGGGTTGTCTTGGTTTGTCACAAATTGCATCCCTAACCCAACCAGCTATATTTCAGAAGATTCTATTGGTTTCAGGGAAAACTTGGTCAGAGCTTAATGTAGAATAATCACTACCACTGAAAACATAAATGAAGCCACACATAGATTAATAATAATAATAATATATTAGTGTATTATTTTTATCTACAAAGGACAACACATAGACTTTATTGCCTGTTGATGGAAGTTTTATATTCTAAAGTGTTGTAAGGGTTGCCTAGTCAAAAGACTAAGATTACCCACCGCACAGCAAACTTATTTGCATGTAATAACTATTTCTGTGTGAAATTGCAGTGTTTGTATAAGATATAAATAAGATATAAAGCAGAGAGGCAACATACAACATTGAGTCCTTAGGGACCTTAAGGGGGTGAGCTTGTCTTCTTTCCTATATGACTATTTGTGTTATAAACTATATACTGTCTAACAAATGGAGAAAATACATTGTATACCAGTCGCTTTGGAGTATGTTCTTATATTTATACTAGACACCCAATGCACAATATTTGTGCACTTGGGGGTGTGGGGGGTCCTTCAGCTGGCCTGCACCCTCTCGCAGTCTAGGATTCCTCCGGGGATGTCCACCTGCCGGCTTAAGCCTGATCCCTGGGGGCATTGGGCCTAAGCTGGCAGACAGGCATCCCTCTCACAGGCGGGAATCCTTCTTATAGTCTGGGACCCCTCGTTCCTTACAACCTGCCTGCTCGCTGCTCCTTATTGCTGCTGTGGAGGTGGGAGAGGCTCCCGCCACCGCCACTGCGCTTGCCAGTTGTGAGCCCGGCTTCTGGCAGAGCTGTGCTCCCCCTATGGGAGCGCACTGACCACCAGGGGGCAGTACCTGCATTGAGCGTCTGCCCCCTGTGGTCAGTGCGCATCATAGCAACCGGTTGTTCTGCTGTTTGGTAGATTTGCATATTAGGGTTTTATTATATAGTATTTCATATATGTATTATATAGTATTTCATAGATGTATTTTCTGAAATGCAGACAGTTCACATTACTTGCAATAAAATAATGAAATTATTCTTGTAAGACTAGATTCAGGAAGAGCTAGAAAATTTTCCAACTTTCCCATCTTGGGTGTTAATAATTTTGTCATTGACATTTGCCTAGGAATGTAAAAGTTTAGCATAGCAAAAACTTTTAGATTACGTTCTCCACTTAGTTATATCTACACAGTTTTAAGAAAACTTTTGTATTCACCAGCTGGATTTGAAACTTCAACCTATAATTAATTTAGTTTAAATTAGCACAGTATTGTTCTTGAGTTTTTCATTTGTATATTCTCTCAGAGGCTTCTCTGTGTTTCTGTTACAAAACAAAGCACAGTGATTTTCATGTTTTTGGAAGAGAAAGAGCAAGCATAATATTTTTTTTGTTTCACAGATTCCATAAATAATCTGGTTCTTTCTTGTTCTCCAATCTTTCATAAGCAGCGAGTGGGAGCAGGGGGCCAGTGGACAGGAAAAGAATAATTGGATAAAAGATATTGGTGTGGCGCCCGGCCTGGCGCGCTCTGCAGCCCACGTGTTGCGGGGCGGTGTAAGCCCGGCGTCAGGCCTCGGGCCCTGGCCCATTGTGTGCTAGTCCAGCGGCTTCAC